AGCATACTGGTCTTTGATAGAAAATAATAAGTATTGAAATACAAGCCAGCTCGTTACATGGCCAAAGCTATGTTTCACCTACGTGCTATGCAGGGTTCCACATAGGAACAATGAACCCTACGTAACTAGTGCGTACCTCACGTGCAAAAAGCATTTGTCAGTCAATGTGACCGTTCATCCGATGCAAGAGAAGGCTATTCCACATTTATCCTAGTTTTGTTAAGACTTATGAATAAGCCATAAAAGTAGAATCAAAATAGAGTGTAATATACAAGAGAAACTCCAAACTGACTAGAAGAAAAAGTTAATGCCCTGGGATGAAACAAAACCAAGGAACAGGCATACTCAATTTTATAATTCCTCTCTAACAAAGTGCAAAGAACTGGTGCCATAGTCATCACACAACATCACCTGAAAAACTAGCAAGGAGTGCCAAGTCACAGACCAACTGCCGCATACAAACACAACAGATAAACACAATCTGAAAGGACACTTCTGCCCTCGTGCTCTGGTGCACTGCAGGAAAGCGACAAATGAAAAGTAGCAAACATTGATAACCATTCCTTTGGGCATTTCCCAGTGATTGCATTAAACAGTACAGCCTACCCTGCACTTGACTGCTACTTGCTCTTAATTTCAGGGGAGCCAGTCATCTAGATGTTGCAATACACAGACCTGGGAACTACACTACTACTAAATTAGTGTTTCGTGCTAGCTTACAACGAAATTCTGATATCTAAAGCGGAGCCCCAGCAGCCTGAGGACCATATCACTGATGCATTCAAGTATCCCATGGCGAACCTATGCTGAACAAATGTAAATAGCCTATGTGAGCCTCACTATACTCTGTGTCACTAGTTGCGTGCAGTACAGGCGAAGGCTATGCCAGGTGAGGGTGGAAAAGGCAAGCACTAGGAAGGTTGGAAAGGAGGAGTGAAACATCTCCAAACGTTCCTAGTGCTCTCACTTTCTCCCTTCACCCTTTATAGCCCTGCTCTCCCGTCCCACCTTCCTAGTGCTCAGCCTTTCTCTCTTTGCTTGGCACTGCCTTTGCCTGCACTGCACATAACAGGTGACACAGAGTATAGTCTGCTAAACACACCACATATGTAGAACCAACATTCAAAATGTTCACAGAATTCTAGACCAACTTACCTTCTCTGGATGCAGTCGCCTCACGGATCTTTTCAAAACGTTCAAAAACAATTAACCAAGTAACATAAGCTTTATTATTTCCGTTGCATACTGTGTTTTAGAAGATACGAGCATTTCCTCATAAAGAAGGGGTCTACACGCACGAGCCAAAACCGCTCAAATCAAATCCGACTACCCTATATTCCAGACAATAGTCCACACCCAGTGTATAATCTGCACCTATGGCATAGTCTGCAGCTGAAGCATAGTCCACAGATAACATATTTGAATACACAAAACAGCCTAAGAAATGCCCACTTTATGGGAGCGCAAAGAAGCTTGTATCATTCGGAATTCATTATGAACCTAATCTGTCATTCATAAAATCCGTCTATAGCTTTTACAAAAAATATGGCATACGGGAACCCATCTTCAGTCAAATTAGTTTGTATGAAACAATTTTTACTTTCAGTATAGGAGCTCCCAAAATGCTTGTAACCGTAAGACAAGCATATTTGACTCTGCTTCATGATACCATACATTCATTATATCTGTACTTCATCTCTGATCTCTGCTCATATAAAATCAGAATGAGTGTCATGTAGACATAGAGTCGTGTAATTCGTGCTGCATGACGCATGTTAAGGACTAGATTATTCTCCATTTCACCTTCCGACATACTAAAGCAGACGGTAAGAGCCATCAGAGCCAATACCCGGCCTGGAGCATGCCACCAAACCTTCTGCGGAGACACCGTGTAACCCTGCGGCCTCTAAACCTAAAATCAAATCTGACTCTTTTCGAGATCCATACTTATTCAATACTGCACACTTTTGCTACATTGTTTTCCACTACAGTAGACCCTCATTATTTCAAAATCCAGGATGCCACGAATTTTGCTTGAACTATCAGAAGTTTGAATTATCAGAAATTCATGTAAATATGATGCAAGGTAAAATTATGATTTGTTATATGGATGGCTATACATAACAAAGCAGATATTTGATGATTTCCTCTACAGAGGCTTACTAATCCTAAGCAGGTATGCCACACATGAAACATTGGTGAAGCGTATGAGATCAACTTATTCGTCCCTAAAATATGTTGTCTATTATGGACTGTTTAAACGGGACATGACACCTCAAAACAAAATCAAGTTTGTCCATTTACCATAAAAGTTGTCTATTGTGGACTATTAGCTCTGTTGAGCGCGCTTCTTACCGATCACCTCTGCACTGCGAAGAAGCAACACCTGCGGAAGCGAGCTTCGTGGGTGTTGCTTCTCCACAAGGCACCGGTGCTCGGAAAGAAGTGCGCTCAACGGGGCTCCAAAAACAAAAAATATGACTAGGGTTCTGCGTTTTCGGTTTCTATTTTTTCAAAATTCGGCGTACTTTTTTCGGTGTTTATTTTTAAATTCAATTTTCGGTTTTTTTCGGCGTATATTTATGCCCGCAAAAATTTATCGGCTTTTTTCGGTGAATATAAAATAAACACCAACGGACACCGGATCAGATGATCCTTGTACGTAGCTCTAATATTTGTGATCACTCAAAGAATAACGGCACGGATACATCGAAAAAGAAATGGACACTTCATTTGCAAATGTGTGCAACTGTAAAAGAAACGAGAAAAAAACGCAGAAGTACAAACAAGTCAGATATGAAGCCTATGCCCCAAAAACATGAAACCTCACCTTCTGTACATCAGGAATACGTGATCTCATTATAGTACACACAGACATGTACTTTCCCAGGTTCTCCTTCTTGATCCACACTATTTCTTTCCTGTTAATATATGACCCTGAGCTTCGAGAACGCCCTCTCAACGCTAACACTGGACGCTGGCAGGTTGAGGAGATGACGCGCTGCCTGAGCCAAAATCGCCGAAAGAGACACGGTGCGACGTTTTGAAGTACAACACAACATGCAGAGCTTGCATCCAGTAAGTCTTCCTCACAACGAGTTTGAAAACACGCTCGCCACGGCTCTGCGGTACGACTGAACGGTAAAAGTGACCTTTTACGGTTAAAACTGAATTTTAAGAAATGGATTCGACGAAATTTTGTCGGTCTTTATCGGTTTAAATCGAAACTGCCGAACCTAAAAACTGACCTTTTACGGTTAAAACCGAATTTCCGAAAATGGATTCGGCGTACTTTTATCGGTTTTTATCGGTTTAAACCGAAAACTCCGAACCCTAAATATGACTTACACGAAAATGACGTTTGAATTGTCTCATAAATACATTAAAAACCTTACGGAACAATCAAAATTTTAAAATTTGTTTGAATTACCGAGAAGTATTAATTATCCGAGTTTGAATTATCACGAGCCTACTTTATAGGGCGGTTCTACAAGACGCCTTTTCCCTTTGAGCAAGCAGTTTTCCACCACGTCGATGAACAGAGTCTGGCACTTTTGTCGTCTGTTTACATACACAGTTCACCAACATGGCTTAGTTATTGCTTCAAATAATGAAACACAGCGAGCAAGCGACAAGGAGACAAAGAAATAGAAGGACACAGGACTAGCGCCGACTTTCACAACTGACACGTTTAATGGAAAATAAAACACAAACAAACAGCGGTAAACAATTCAGTTGTGGTCTATCAACACATGTCGAGGAAGGGGGATTTCCTTCCAATGTAAATGACCTCATGTTTAGCTGACACATCAATCCTCCCTTCTTTCTTTCTTTTAATTGGGCAAGCTTTTACAATTTTTCTGGCACTCTTATTCCCGCCACTTACAATGACGGTGAATTTATCAAAGTCAAGGCGACACCCACAATCTGCACAGTGTAGTCAAAGGTGCTTCCTACTGTCGATTGCAGGGTTCAGTCATGCTCTCTCATTCTCCGGTTTACACACCTTCCAGTCTGGCCAATGTACACTCGTCCACAAGTCAGCAGAATCTTGTAGACAACATCTACTGTACAATCTGTATAATTTGTTTTACTGCACCCGTGGGTTATTGCCACTTTTTCTTGCAACTCTGGGGCACAGTTGTGCCAACTTTGATGGTGCTGAAAACACCATGGGTATGTCATACCAAGTACTATATGTTAATGTTTACGAGGCCTTACGGATGTATCGGGAAACCAGAGGTCTCCCCTTCAGCCTTTCTTTACGTACAAAGGGGCCACCCTTTACCTTCTTGAGTAAGGTTTCTGCTAGAGGCAACACAACACTCATTGAAAATCCTGCCGATTTTAGCCTCTCTACCTGCCTGCCAAAACTTACAGGCACTGAATGGTGGCACGTCGTAGCTAAAGCAGCCTCCAAGTACATAAAGAAAGGCTCAAGGAGAAACCACTGGTTTCCCCACAGCACTTGGGTAGGATGTACTCCTGGTGTTTTCGGCACCCTAAAAGTTGGCACAACTGTGCCCCAGAGTTGCAAACAAGAGTGGCAATAAGCACATGTGTACAGTAAAGCATAGAAAAAAAGTATACAGATTGTGCCGTCGGTGTTGTTTACAAGATTCAGCCGACTTGCAGACGAGAGTGCATTGGCCAGACAGGAAGGTCCATAAACCTGAGAATGAGAGAGCACGATCGGACCCTGCGATTAACAGAGGGAGGAACACCTTCCACTACACTGTGCAGATTGTGGGTGTCGCCCCGACTTTGATAATGTCACCATCATTGAAAGGGGTGGGTATCAGCGTGCAAGAGAAATTCTGGAAGCTTGCATCATCAAAAAAGAAAGGTATGACCAATGGGTCAGCCAAACATCGGTTTATTTACATTGAAAGGAGATTGCATTCCTTGACATCTGTTGATAAACCATGAATAAGTTGTTTACTGCTGTTTCAGTTTCTTTCTATTAACCCTATCAGTTGAAAGTCACCACTAGTCCTATGTCCATTTTCTTTGCGTCCTCGTCGTTGGCGTGCCGTGTTCCATTTTTCAAAGTATGCGCCGACTAGCTTGCATCGCCACCAAAATTTAGTTATTGCTGTTGTTTTTGGCGTTGGTGAAACACTGAAGCATGACCGAGCGAGTCCGTCGACGACAGAACTCTCCAAGTATGACCGGGGACACGTCTAGGATGCATAAATCCATGCTTATTCCAATTCGCTTCCTTTCAGAATCTACTGGGGCCTGCTGGGGCCTGTATGGCCGCCGATAGGTCGACTTCTCGATCACCGGCTCAACATAAGTTTGAATAAAGAGCGATATGTATGAACGTCGAAAGTCAGACAGTGCTCCTTTCGTCACCGACTGCTCCAGCAGACGCAATCGATCGCGACGCTAAAACAACCGACAGAGCTGGAAAACACTGCCCACGAACATAAAAAGACACCTAGCAAAATTTCACCAGCATGGCATCCGGCAAGGAGCCGGAAGTATGCCACGTGAAACCACTCAATAGCAGGGCCTCCCTACCCGTTGCGGCACCTCTTCATGTGCTGCGTCAGCGATGACCTCGACCTGAACCTGAGCGGACAGAAGTCGCACTTGTGCGGGCGTTCGCCCGTGTGCCGCCGAGTGTGCTCCACCAACGTGAACTTGCGGGCAAACGACATGGTGCACAGGTGGCACTTGAACGGCCGCTCGCCGGTGTGTGTGCGGTTGTGGTCCATCAGGTGGTGCTTGTACATGAACGTCTTGGGGCAGAAGCGGCACTCAAAGCAGCGCCCGCCCGGAAGCGCCATGCACGGCCGCACGGTCCTCCGCCCGATTGGCCGCTTGTTCACGCCGAACACGGTCCTGAACACGTAACCGCCGACGTGATCGGGCTGGAGATCGGGCACGCACGAGCGGCGTTGGACGGCGTCTGCAACAAACGTGCGGCATTCGGTTATCCGGCGGTGCCATGAATTTGTTTTCGTTGAGCTCCGCGTTGGTACCACACAGGGAGCGACAAGCTAAAAGCTTGTTCTCATGTACAGGGTGTCCCACCCCCCAAAAAAGATTTTTTTTTTTTTACCGTCGAAATGAACTGCTTTACACTGAACGCTCATTCTCGGTCAAAATGTAGCACTGGCAGTTTTCTGTTCAAAACTAACCGTTATCTTATTAAAAAGTTAGTGATTTTCTTCAATTTTCAATGGGAAAATGGCGACTGACAGAGCCCCCCATTACATGAAGATGAATGGCACCAGTTACCAAGAATGGGCCTCATTTACCCATTAAAATGTCCAGAAAATAACATAACTTTTGAACAAGGTAACGGTTCATTCTGAAACTTTGGCATCTGGTCCAGACTGCTAGCGCTTCATATGGTCGGAGCATGAACACTTGGCAATGCATGCTTCATTTTTGTGGCGAAATAAAAACCCGTTACTTTTTTGGGGAAAGACACGCCGTACACCACAGTGCTACCTCAGTGCCAGTGGCGCAGCCAGGTACCATTGTCGGGGGGATTTTCATGATTGGGGCAGGGGGTGGTTGCTTTGTATCATTTTCGCGTATAGTAGTAGATGTACTGTATGATACACGGGTACAAACACAACCGTCCCAAACCCCCCCAGCTGGCTGGAATAATTCGGTGGTCATTCAATATTTCTCTTCGTTTACTCAAAAAAATAAGTTAGGATTTTGGGGTGGGGGAGGGGGGGGTTTGACTTCCCCAGACCACCTTTCTGCCTATGCCACTGCTGTACGTCAGCACTGCAAACAGCACCGATTTTGTTGATGCAGCACTGACTTTGCACCATATTAGTCATACAGCACTGCATCAGTGCCAAGTTACGTTCTGCATCAACTCTGTTCATCGCATTGAATCAGCACTGGGATGCATGTGAACCAGCCTTTGTCCTTCCCACTTTCCGCTAAGGAGCAAACTGACAACTGTTGCGAATGAACAAACTACAATCGACAGAAAGTTAGGTTAAAGGGGCAGTGCAACAATATTCGCTTGGAATGTTTTTACTTTACAAAAGGTTACTGACACTAGTGACACCCAAGTACACTCGCATGCAATGCCATTGACCAAGAAACTTCTTTGTTACAGTGTCATTTCAAGAATAAAAACAAGCGTTTTCTTTCAATCTCTCCTTCGCAATACTTGACGACGCAGCTGGAGGATAGCCGTATCGCCCAGTGATGATATTTGAATGCGGCTCATAGACTGGACCTGAGCATCGCATGAGACCTCGATTTAAGCTCGTGATAATCAATAGCTTCACAAGCATTCAGGTAGTGGCCAGTTTCCTATCGCTGTAATGACAACAATAGCTGAACCATAACAATGTCTGGAACTCAGCACAAACCATGTCCTTTGACAACCCCAGCACATGGCTATGATTAGGCGGCATATAATCGGCTCCAAACCATGTGGCCACTTGTTCCAGCTGCGAGTGGAGGGGTAAATGCTGCTTTTCTTTAATTTTCTCTGCAGCTTCTATTGCGTGTGGTGAAAAACGAATGTGTGCTTCATATGTCATTAACATCAGGGATTCATACTAAGCAGTATTTTCGCAAACTATAAATATTGTTGCATCGCCCTTTTAAGTGTGCCCATACACAAGGTTAGCCGACGGTTACTAAAAAAATTCTTTGATTGAGGCAACTTAAATATTCAGTTTTGTGTAGACAAAACTTGTGGACTAAGTTAAGAATGTGAGAAGAGAAAGTGGTCTTTACAAAGAACATGAAAGTAGCGAATGACAAGAGTTTCTTACAACCGAGAACCCTATGCGTCAGGAACTGAACCTGAAGCAGCCACCTATGAAAGAAATGAAGGAGTGGGGGGAAATCTGAATATATCCCTAGTCAAAGTAATTTGGGGATATGGGTTCCTGTATGTTTAACTTCAGAGAAACCATGGCATACATGTCGGTCAAAAAGCTAGTCAACCCGATTTTTCATTACATGAATATGGTGTCTCCACAGTATAGTAAACTACCTATACTGTAGTAAATGCAATAAGTATAAGCTACAACATAATATGGTACACATAATGCAGAGCAGTATACATAGAAAATGATAAAATTTATGAATTCATAGAGTAAACATATGGGTCAAAGTCCTGTTGAACAAACTAAGTGTAGGACAAGCAATAATAATGTTGCGTGTATGTTCATACAGTCTGAAGTTAAGTCTGCCTCAACGGCGACTTGTCTCCAAGCTGTAGATGAGCAATTTAGTGAGTGCAGTACAACCGCTAGTTTGGGGTCTGTAATGTGCACCATGCAGTAGTGATGCATGACCGCACGCCGGTACTATGCTATTCCAGATCGAAACGGGCAGGGGTGGAGATTGAACCAAGGATCCTATGTTCTGCAGCGTGAGCTTCTGCTCCACGTGCTCCGAGCTGGTGTGCGCTAGGCCACTTGGCCACCGATCCCTCGGTGTAGGACAAGCAAATGGTTGAGACTGCATCTTTTTCTTGGCCCATGTCGAAAGCCACTTAAGTCCCACGTTTTAACAAATTTTTTTCTGGCAGTCTGGAAATATTTTGTCAACATTTCTTTCATAAAAATCACCTAAAAAACAATTTATGAAGAAACATGTATAAAAAGAATATCTGCTAAACAATCTATCAGTCCCTCTGTCCCACCAGCAATGTTAAAAATTAAAATGGAATTTAAGGAGACACCTTGGGCACAAAGAGTAGTTCAGAAACATCTGTCACAGGTACAACATGCGAAAAAGTGGCCAATGAAACAACCGGTGATGAAGCGTAACAGCACTAAACCATCTTCCAACATAGAATTACTGCGCTATAGTACATACCACGGAGTAAACAGAAAATAAATATGAAAGTGCTTGACCATATCAATATCACAGAATAGAACTCCTACCGGATCACGTATCATGAAAGCCTCGGTAACAACCTTGCTTGAGACGACCCACATGTTAAAAAGACTTCAATTGGCGCAGTGCTCATCACGTGTAATCCTATGAAATGCTCTAAGAAACAAGATGGCCGATTCCAGGTGACTTCAATGCTGCTTCTGGAGATTCAACTCTGAAGGTCCGCACAATGCCTATTCTCCGAAGATCTGCAGGAGGACCTTGCCACGGCTTATTGTGGGCCTCACTGTAAATGTTTGTAAGAATGTTGAAACTCGTATACCTCAAACCTGAAAAATAAAACGAATTGCATAAGTTTGAAAGCTCTTTGCAATGTACATTGCACCAAGGTCAATCATAAGTCAACAAAAACGATCTGTTCCAAGACAAATACAAATCCTAGTCACCAAATAAGCTACGCTTCAGAATAACAACACTTCAGCTGCTAAGTGAGTAGTGCCTTTCGCCAGGGCCGTAACCAGGGGGGGGGGGTTAGGGGGTTCTGACCCCCCCCCCCCCCCCCCCCCCCCCCGAAATTTTTTTCTGGGTACGGCCCTGGTCGGTGCACTGGCAGCCAGCCGATTTTAATCTCCACCTCTGCGCACGCGCAGTGGCGCCGGTTGGCTACCGGGTACCAAACCGGGACCGGTTCTCCGGTTTGCTGTAACTCCATTATATGCCACCGATGCACATGATTCATAGGCGAAAATAAGACAATAGACACTTTCAAAATGGCCGCCGTTGTCCCCAAAAACGCCCCCCCCCCCCGAAATGTTTTTCTGGGTACGGCCCTGCCTTTTGCTACTTCCTAGAACAGTCTGTCAAAGTATCATTACCTGAAAGATGGTGCATTAAACCATACACAAAGCCAGACTTGTGGCCAAATCGCATACTTATTGAATGTGATAGTCTTTGACCAATCGTGCCAGCCCAATTAATCTTCCTGGCCCTCCTGCCTGAGATGCCAAACTAGAATTCTATAGAATAGATTCTATAGATTTCTATAGAAATATAGAAAGAAACAGTCAGCAAAACACACAAAACAAAGAGGAAACAAAGAGGAAAGCATAAATGCATTAAAATCAGGAAAGCCTGCACTCACACACAATAGAAAAATATATATGGCAGTCAGAAAAAACAAGAAATTTAGGAAAAAATAGCAGTGCCCACCCCCTCGAATCGTATCCAGAACGGGCGGCCATCTGATTTGGTGCTAACAATATGCCGCCAAAGTTCATCACTGCCACGAGCTGAAGTTGGCAAAGCAGAAGCGCTTAGAGCTCGGCTAGTCTCATCGTCACAGCAACTGGACACGAGCCGCTACCCAGACGTTCGCCGAGCCATTGATTGTCACAAGCCTAAGTCCAGTGCTCATTCAGTGCTCCTGTCCAATCCTTGAATCGCGTTAGACTATCGTCGCCAAGCGGGAATTCCCTCGGCTATGTCAACGCTGCAATTCCCCTCGAGTACATCATAAGGTTTTGCAAACGAAACTGAAAGAAAAGCTCCGCTTTCATCGTCGAAATCGCACCGCGATAAGGAAGGTTTTTGGACCACTGGTGCTGGCTGAGAGTATACTTGGGTCTCACTAGTGCGAATAGGCTTGAGAAAAGTAAAAAAATATTCCTACCTCATGCACTGCCCATTTCGCTTTCCCACGAATGGTACCAACATTAGTAGAATCTATAGCAGACAAAAACAGAGCCGATTTGTTTGTTTCATCTAACTCTAAGAAAAAAATCTTGAAGATGGCTGAAGGCACTTAAATGATTAATTTTATGTTGCTGTCGAGAAACTTGAGTTCCTTCCAGCGGAATTTGTCTTGTAAGTGTAGCTTTTATGGGACACTGCAAGTAAATATGTCAGAGGTAGGCGGTTATTGTTCCAAACTTGCTTAGGGTGTAGGTACCGGTCAGTCTCGTGGTGAAGACAACAAGAAGGAACAGAAAAGCTGAAGGAACTGAACTCTGCCCTCCCTTCCCTTTTCGTTTTTCCCCCCACTCCTGCCTGGGCCCTAATGGGGGCCTGCAGTACAGTCTAAGCTCGTTATAACAGACCTTGATTTTGACCAAGATTTTGGTCTGTTGTAAGTGGAGTATGTTGTATGCAGATATGAAGTTGAGTCAATAGAATGTAGAGGAAAACCAACTTAACTTCACAAATCGGTATGTTATATCCAAATGTCTGTTGTAACCAGGTCTGTTGTAATGAGCGTAGACTGTATTGTGAAATAAATAAAATAATAAAGATTATGTTCAAGTGCAAAACAGTTGGAGAAAAGAAAGATGAAACTAAAATGCATCTTGTATGAAGAAGTCACCAGAAAGCTGGCTTTCCCCTCGCTTCTACGTAATATTCGGGAGTAAAATAAATTGTGTGTGACATCACATGAGCAAAGTCAATAAAGGTGCATTCAGAAGGGGTCACGATTATCACTGCATCCAAAATTTCTAAACTTTTTACTGACTATGGGGAAAATGCCTGTCTTGTGTGGCTTTCCATTATGCTCATTTCCTGGAGAAACCATTAGCTTTATAATATGATGCTGTATATAGAAATGAAGCTAAATAAATGAGCTTTTGAATGATACAGACATCAAAGCAGAGACTTGAATCATAATGCAATATATAATTCATCAAACACAATTGTTTTCCGAAAATCGGTACAAATTGGGTAAAGATTTTGTCACGCGCATCTGCGGCCGAACAGTTATCGTACTTGGCTCCCACGAAAAGTGCCGAGGTATGATTCCTGGGAGCAGACAGACATTTTTGTTATTTCTCTAAATGTCTCATTCCGGTAAATTTGAGAACCCTGACGCTTGTTCAAGGTCCGAATGCTCTACGCGCCGAACCTTCTACGCTGATTGGTCCAGAAGCCCACATGTGTACATAACGGGCTCCGCGTGGCAAGCCGGATTCAGTCTCACTTGCGCGCTCAATCCTGCTGTTATGCCACCATCGACGCCTGCGAAGCTTCGGCGAAGGCCGCCACAGCAGCAGAGCACCTATCCGCCCATTGTCGTATGTCAGTGTGTACCAGAGTTTTCTAGCCTAAACATCCTAGCAAGAAAACGCCACAAGTTTGCTTGAGAAGTCCTGGAGGCCCTCGCTATTGACGCAAAGGTGGACAATTGTATGAGTGCGCCTTCCATCGCGCTACACCACAAGGAAGTTTTGTATCTTAGAGGGGCCGCACCCATGGCAGACAAATGAAAGACGAGGAAGGTGCTCGGTTATAGGACTAGAAGAAAAGGAAGAAGTTCCTCAATTAAATGAAATGCAATTTAGATGTAGATAAAGAAAAAGAGAAAGTGAAACTCAATATAGATGAACAAAAAGATTATGTATTACACAGTAGCTAGTCCAGCGATGTGTATGCCTTTCTGTCTCTCTCTAATCCTTCTTTCATGTTGAGCTGGCACTATATATAGCAATGAATCAACCAGCTCAGCTTCAGGCCCATCACATCCTAGTCTTCTATTTCGTTTTGGTCACAAGTTTGCCACAATCAATGTTTAGCTTTCTTCAGTCATTCGTCACCTCATCAATTGTCATTCGTGACAATATGGCTTATCTCAAAAGAAAAAGTGCCAAAACGATTTTTAATATGCAAAATCTTTTTCATTTTAACAACATAAGCACTGCAAAATCTACAGTTCTAGCTCTAAAAATATTTTGAACTACCACTAAACTAGTCAAGTTTCTCAATGTAGTGAAGCACAGGTGATCAGAATTATAGAAGGGTATGCACTTGGGCTAGTTGGTGATCCATGTTTTTGAGGGTAAAAGTGCTAAAAACAACGAACAAGTAAAAGAAAAAGAAACGAACAACACAGATTGCTTTGTGTTCTTCGTTTCCTTTACTTGTCCGTTGTTTTTAGAGCTTTTACCCTCAAAAACATGACCAGAATTAAAATACGATTATCTAGCTGGCTTCATCATCAGGCCTACTGCTGCCATCCAAAAAATTAATCGAGGATTTGCCACTCTTGCAAGCACATGACGGGCGTATAGAAGCGGGGGCTATGGCGGTCTATAATGACGACGTGCCATCAGTTTCATGCCTAGATTAAAAATTGTTGTCATGCAGAAAGAGGAAGAGAAACACAAAAAACCCAAACTGTAGACTTCCAACTACCTACGAGATAGTGCAGCAAGCATGAGAACTCCGCGGGAGTTATGAAATGGGCCGTTATGCCCGTCGATCATGGTTGATCGACATTTTTTGGGCACGGTCAGGTGAGAGAGTTGCTGAAAAAGAAAACAAAAGATGTTTTTATACGATACGATTATGGTTTTGCATTTTCGGTGTTCATTTTTCTTCAAATTTGGGGGTGTTGTTTAGGGGTTTATTTTTATCCTACAGATTCTGTGCTTTTCAACATTAATTATTGGCGTCCGACAAGAAAATTGGGGACAATCGGGGTTTATATCGAAGAAAATGGTGCACGGACGTATATTTTCCCAACCTTCGAGGAAAATACGCGTGGCCGGGATATACTTGGAAAGCATCTCCATAACGATAATAAAAGAAACCAAAGTAATGTGTTTGGTTCCGAAGAAAACAGCAGCTTCGAGGGTGGTTCGTCAGGGGTTGTGTTCCGGGTGAACTGGAAACAAAGCCGTAGATCAAAAGTTCTTCCCGTGGAGTTCGAGTTTTTCTTCTTCAAGGACATCTCGAATTCAAGGTTTATTGCTTTTCCCAGATTTTGATTAAACCGACTCGGGGGTTAATTTTTGGGGTCTAACGGTATTCACCGAAAACATGGAACCCTAGATATGATATTCTTATCTTTGGAATAGACATTGCACCACAACATGAACATCTCTGTATGGCGTCACAAGTGAGATGCTGCAACACAGGTTTACTACACAAATGTCTGTAATATGCATTTCAAATGTATACAATGGTGCACTCTACACTCATGAACCAAAGGCTCTGAATCAAGAAGGGAACTCCCTCTACCTAATGCTGCATGCCCATCACTATAAGTATGGTACCTGGGATGCATCTCGGACCGGTGTGTTCACCTTCCTATCTCTCCCATGCATCCCAAGTGGTCTCGATGTGGCAACAAGTGCTGCTGCAGGAGCTGGACTTGGAGATCAGTGAGCTGAACTGTCTGTCATGCTGTAAGACATTGCAAACCTGGTGGATGGTCATACAAGTTCCAGCAAGAAAAGCGAGCAAAGGCAAGTGTCGCTGTCATGACGGCGTCCTAACTCGTCTGTGCTGAAGCTTTCGTGCATTAATTTTAAACAAAGCGCGCCGATGGATATTGCTTTCTCTACGTGACGTCGGAGAAATGGTGCGTTAGCGTTGGGCAATGTTACTAGATTAGCTCAGTTAGGGAACTGCCTATGGACGCTATTTGCACAGGCAGTACCCGATTTTATATTTTCGTCACCGACGGATGTTCATCGGTGTTTTTCGGTAAAAACCGGAAAATACACACCCTTAAAATAACCAATTACCGGTGTTTTTCGGTTTTAACCGATTTTGTATTTTCGTCACCGACGGATGTTTATCGGTGTTTTTCGGTTAAAACCGGAAAGTACACACCCTACCTATAAAGCAAGAAGTCCCGGCAGCTCAAGTGAGCGATATACTCAACTGGTCATAAACAAGCTGCGCTGACGCGTCGAAATGCGGTGCAATGACACAACCGGTATCTCCAGTTTTGGAATGTGTAGCAGACGCAAGTCATCCGCGAGCGCTATCTCTGAGGCGGTACCACGCGCCAGATTCCGAGTTAGGCGCCTCGTCACAGAAGAGCGGGAAAACACACATGTTTGCAGGCACAGTAGGACGCGCATGCGCTTTTGTGTGATCTCGAAACCAGGCGACCCGCCGGCAGATGGCAGAGCAATGCGTTTCAGTCGCAGCTCGCGCGTCCTGGAGACTTTTGTCCCCGACTGTACAATCTAGATGGCACTTCAAATGGCGGGAGGCGGAGTGAAGGGAGGGGGAGGGGATACCCCCTTTTCTGCGGGAGTTCCAAAACTGACCTAATCTAGTAACGTTGGCACTGGGTGGCGTAGGGACGTTATTCCTCCCCTGCAGCTTTTAACACTGAAATAGGCTCTAGAAAAATCTCAAGAAAATGTTGACACGGGCGACGTGGAAGTTTTGTTTGTGGTCGCAGAGATGACCACTGATAGGGCAAATGGATCGATACTTATACGGCGATGCGTCACACTCGGCTTGCCGTTTACTGTGGTTGTGGATTTTGAAACTCTCATGTAATTTAAATTTCTAAATCTTAGAGATAAACGTGTGAAGAAAGAAAATATTATTCGCTGCACACTGCATGAAGTGTGTGCAATGACACAACCCAAACCACAGGTAATATTTAGAGTAGAGCAATGTTAAATGTCCAGAACAGCAGCTCACCGTAAGGTCGATTCCCTCACTCCGACAGCCGTTAAGCTTTCAAGCAGAAAGGGAGGAAATATTCTACGAGTATTCTCAGAAAGTAGCACATGCTTGGTGGCTGTAGTCTTCGGGGAAATTATGATGACAACGAACTAACCTACGAAGTAAACTATCAAGCAACGACCAAACGACGACAGACGGCAGAACTGGCAGAATCGGCAGTCGGTTTGCTTGCTTGGATATTTGGATTGGATTCTGTTGGTTTCTTGAGGCCTAAACAACAGCAAGAGATTTGGGCAGTTTGGTGTGGGCCTTATTTGCCTTTGTAATAGTTTAGTTATTACGCACCTCTCTTTTAAATAAAATATAGTATGAGCGTAGTTTAATTTGTCATTTATTTAAAACGCATTCACCAAACGTGATTTTTGGAGTTTCAGTTTCGGTTACGGCCGCGTCAGCCAGTTTTGAGCGCTCACGTTGTGATGCTTGCAAAAATATGAAAAGTAAACTTAATAATCATCATGGAAGAATAATTTATTTTATTTTCTAGTACTCCCGCTTGAAGGTTGCTTATTATAGTAGAAATTATTTTTTTTTCTTATTCCACCGATTGCTTTCAAATGCATTGCCACCAATAAAGCTTCCCATGCGCGCGGATAGTGCTGAATGCTAAAATGCAAACGGTGACCGTCGGTAAATAAAAAATAAATAAATAAATAAAACTGTCTCGTCTTGCGATGCTCGGCGCTTGCAAATCAACAAGGTCGCTACGATGTATACCAAGAACCAGGACGACAATTCGCCTAAGTGGTCGTGTCCTTCGCCATCCAGAGAGGGCTTCGGGGAATATGTTGCTTTCGCTTAATGTCACAGCGGATACTCTCACACACACTCCTGTTTAGAAGTCAAATCAAATTTCGTCAAATGTTGACAGAGCGGAGATTATTCGAACATTTATCATTTTTCCGCGCAATCACAAAGCCAGAGAAGCGACAATATGACAACTCAAATGTATGTTGTTCTTTTTTATAAAAAAAATTCACAACAAGGATGTGTTACATTAAACCGCACACTCGCCTATTCAGGGAGTGGCGCATCGCTTACACGAATTTTTTGACGAGAGGGGAGGGGGCATTACCATACCCTTCACCTTATGTCATATGTCTGGTGCAAAGAGGGGGGGGGGGGAGCATTTCTTCCCCCCCCCCCCGCCCCTAAATCTTGACGCCAGACATAATGACGTTTTTTTGTTTGTTTGTTTCGACGCCACTGGCTTGGACTGCCCAGACGAGCGTATTATTCACATTTGACACAAATAAACGAAAAGGAATGGTTGTCTGCTATCGACACGTGATACGCCTGTCGTTGTTTTCATTCGTTCACCTTTTCCAAAGTGACTCATATCAGCACGTCAGTCGAAGCTGTTCGAGAAGTTTCCATCGTTGCCAAGGTTACAGCAATCGGTGCTCGCTCGAAATTGATTCGCTGCCGTTTTGAGCACGGCGCCTAGGTTTTGCAGACGGCGCGGGGGACGGCCTCAGCCAATCAGAACCGTTTTTGCGCACTGCGCGAAGACTTCAAATCTGGCTATAAAAAACGTGGCGCGAACAGGAAAGCTCCGAAGAGAGCCTGCAATTTCGAAGACCTTCTCCAAGGAACTCCAAGAGCAAGATATGGACCGTGTCTGCAAGTGTGGTGGTGAGTTGGCTTCGATTTTGACTTTTTGTTTTCCTATTTAGCGACTTTATCTTAGAACATACGTGACCTACGTGACAAAGTTCATTTTCCAATTTTTGACTTTGCCATTTTTTTGTCGCTTTCTGACATTGCCTTTTTTTTTTTTCTTTTTTTAACGTCTTTTGAGTTATTTTTCGTCGTCTTCCGACTCTGCCCTTTTTGCCGCTTTGTGGCAGTCATTTTCATCGTTTCCTACTTTTATCCTGTTTTGGCGTTTTCTGGATTTGTCGTTTCCGTCACTTCCTGCTTGGACTTGATTTTGTTTCACTTTTTGATTTCCCCATTTCAGTAGTTTATACCTTTTCCATTTCCACTGTTTTCTACATCAGAGTGAATGTAGGAAAAAGTGTAAATGGAAAAGTAAACAGATTTTCAACCGATGAAATGTCGCATGAATAAAATCTTAGTTCCACCAAGCACTCGCAGCAATTTGGTCAAAGCTGAAACAATTGAAAGAAATCGAACGACAAAATGTCACTGTCGTTTTTTTTTTTCCTTTTTTCTTGTTTTGACCGGTTGTTGTGGGTGTTTGGTGGAACTGCGAACATTTCATGTTCTCGCTATCCGCAATCAATACTAAATATCTAAGTGAATTCACCTACTCCACTTCCGCCTGTCAGTGCGCGGGGGTGGCACTCCGTTGGTCGAACGCCGACTTTTCATCGAAAGCCACTTCAGCTAAAAAACATATCAAGGGGCTTTAACTTTAGCGAATGGTCGACGCCGCCAAGCGGCGTTTTCGGGTGGGTCGCGTAGGTTCACATGTTTCGTATTTAGCCACCGCAGACCGCCGCCGCGAAGCGCCGTGAACGTAGCACCACAAGACCTTGAAATGCTTAGTAGAAGAGCGTGTTGGTTGAAGTCATGGATGAAGAAAGAATAAACAATTAAAACAGGGACAACACAACTACATCTTTTCAACTAGCAACAGACGAGTAAATTTTCAACAGCGAGCAGCCGACTATACCCAGTAGGAGTAGGGGAGAGAAGGGGAGAGAAGGAAAGATAAAACACGCGAAGTGCAAGTCAGGGTGGTAGGGTTATCTCGGATTTTAAAATTCAACAGCAGTTTTCGTCAGATGTAGTTGTGTTGTCCCTGTTTTAATTGTTTATTCTTTCTTCATCCAAGACCTTGAACTATGCAGACAAGGCTGGCGGCGCGCATGCGCAGCTGCGGCGTTAGGGAGTTTTTGTAGATCGTTTTCGCTGTCCCGCAAGGCCCTCCGCAACCCGCTACGATAGCGGGAACTCCACAGTCAAGGCTATCGGTGCGCAGGCGCAGTAGCAACTTCTTCGTTGCGGAACGCTTAGCGGAAAGGGCAGCGCGGTCTACGAAAACTCCCTGTTTTCTTCACGGATACCGTAGCGGAGGAGAAAAAGGGTCCTAGTCGCTCATGCGATGTGGACCCCTAGCCGTTTTTCACTGTGTTCTCTTATTTCTTGACGCAGACCCCAAGTGCACCTGCACCACCTCGTGCAAGTGCCCTGATGGCGATTGTCCCTGCGACAAGTGCAAGGCCAAAAGCCCCTCAAAGTAGTACGTATGCTCTACAGCCTCTTTAAAACGGCAACTGCCGGTCCTACTTTTTTTTTTTTTTTTTTGCCTGTCTTTATTGTTTTCACAATTAATGGAAGGTACAGCTCCAAGTGTTTTCCTGGGCAAAGCATGGTTCCCAATCCTAAACCCCCGCACTGCGATCTAGTCCAATTTGAAGCCCTAGAACCAGTGCTTAAAGTCTGGGGGGTCTCAAGGGGTCCGGGACCCCCCTCCAACTTTGGCGGGGGGTCTGAGACCCCCCTTATACCGAAGGTCCTTTTCTCTTAGTCCTGTGCTTGGGGAACAGAGATGACAAGTCCTGGATAAATTGAAAGAATGCATAGCTGTAGAAGTGTTGGTTGAATGTTACCCAAGGAGCATATATAGAGGCCCCCCCCCCCCCCCCCCCCCCCTCCCCCTCCTTTTTACGGGGCCTCTACCTGAGCTCGAGCTAGGAGAGACCCCCCCAGACTGGAGGGAGACTAGAACCTTTATGGAGCCAGTCAGCGTCCTTGATTTTCAGAGGCGCCAGGACTCAGTATTTTTTTTTATTTTATTTCTTTTTCTTAGCTTGTAGCTTTGAAAAAGTACATTCGTGACATCATCTAGAGGAGAAGGGAATCGGTGGCCTACAGTGCACAGGCCAACTTTATGCTGAAATCTCAAGCCCGAGTTTATTCGCTGTCAAGAAACAGTGTGCCCTTCGAAACTAGTTCTGATATCTTTCACGGTGTGTGTCTTACCTACTGTTACTTACCTGTGGTTCCTTCATTTGTGACAGAGCCCTGCTGCGAAGCATCGAGGCGTTCACGGACCCTGATCTCTTCTGCAAGCACCAGATCACGAAAGCGCAACATGCATGGTGCACGCATCGTCGATGGGGTTTGAATAAACGCATTTTTTGCGAAAGGACAATTTCAGTTTACGTTGATTGTTTTGATCGATTCTTGCAAGCATTGCTTGGGTCAGCCAAGAGGCGCTACAACGCCACATGTCGCAGGTTTTGTCATCTTCCTGTGCCTATGTGATCATCAGCGAGACTGATCAAGCAGACTGAATGTGGAGCGACTTCGGCGCTTTCAGTTTGTGCTTGGACGTCTTCCAGCCTTTCATTGCGGCACACCAACAAGCAAGCGCGCTTGCATACGCCAGAGCACCAGACACCAGTCTGGAACACGTCCGCGTCCTAAAAGGTTGTCCTTCGATTCCGATCTCTGGAACGATGCTCGCATATTTTTATGTGATGCGCACTAAGAGGCAAACTTCCGCTCGTGTACCCTTTTCATTTGCGCTCTCGACAGCCCGTTCCCGGATAAGATAACGCTACCTCGACGTGCGCTATCTGAAAATGAAAGATGGGAGTTGACGCGTATGGAAACGTTTGAATGCGTTGCTTCCCATTTGTAGTTTTCGACGCATAAAGTATTTTTTAATGACCGGATGATTAAAATGTTAACTTCGCTATTTCTTTATTTTCGTCAATGCAGCAGATATGATGACGTAATCGCACAGGGTAATGTAAAAACAAAACAAAAAAGAATAGCGATTAGCTGTGCACATTTAACGCAAACCTATCGGTTGCGTCGTGTTCTATGCTACTATTATTCAAATGCTCAACCCCTGGTCATGCTGTGACGTGCTTTCATCGGTTGACTTGACTCCGATTCGAAAATTCCGCGCTAATGCTGAAATGTCGATAGTACCATACAGGGTGTCTCAAATATCGGCCAGGCTCTTCGAATGCTTCGAATAGACTGCAAAAGTCAGTTTATTAACCTATCGCGCTACGATTTTGTGCAGCGTTGCCCACAAGTGGTGCATTTTTTTTTATAAATTTGCAAAGAGCGATATTACCGGTCGCGACGCCAAAATCCGAGTCATCCGAGTCGCGGATCGTTTACTCGCAACGTCCTTGTTTACCAAGGTGTTTACTCGCGATGTCACGTGGTACCACCCGCTGACGTAGGAGACGACAAGTCCATTCCTTCGGCCACTTCGGCTCTGGCGCACAAAACAAACAACTTCCTCGCCCCTACGGCTCACGTGCGACAGCCGCGAGTGTGCTCACTGCTCGCTGTCTTTGCATCTAAACTCTTAGCTGTAATCTTTGTCACTGCAAATACGGCACTTATCTCCAGCGTTCCTGAAGCCGCCTGAACAACGTATCTCATGAAACAACCCTAATTGTGTAAGTACCCCAAGATTCTTTAGTCAAACATACCGCATGTGACAGGCTAGGTATGACAAAGGAGGAAGATGAAGTAGCTCGGTTCATCGTGGTAAGAAAGAGGAGGAAGCCATGTAAATCGGCGCAGTGAGGTGGCTTACCCTGTCGCAAAATTGAATAGCGTGCACGCCTCGATGGAACCGAATTGACACGTCTATGTGTTTCAGAAATTGATGTGTATACTGTGCGTAGCCCAGCCAAGTTTGATGCGCCGTTGACACGATACGGAGGTTGTCTTTTTCTGCGCTCGGACGCGGTCTGGGTGTGGCGTCTAATTTTGAACGAAAAAAAAAAAAAAAATCGATGCCTAAACCCAGGTACGAGAAGACGACGTACGATGACCGTGCGAGACAGACAGTCGTCGAGGAAACTCCCCATATACCGACGCCGCCTCCGAGCCCCTTCTGCATCAAGGAGTCCGTCAAGGAATACAGGGACAGAGTGCGGCCCGACTGGTGGCAAAAGGTACGACGACGGGCTGACCTGCAGAGTGTCCCTTGTCTGTTTCTAGTGGAGGCGCCATTTTGCCTTTGTATTTCGTGGATTTTTTTTTTTTTTTTGGGGGGGGGGGGGGGGGGTGGGGAGGGAGGAGGAGGAGGGGTATTACTTCAGGGGGTAGGTTTACCCCCGCTAACCCCCACACCCCTGCCTACTCTACTGCCTTGGTAGAGATGCCATATATTATCTGCCAAGAACAACAATTTATGGCGAATTCGCGTGGTCAATCGTCGGCAACTTATTTTGCCGGAAAACCGGCAATAGTGTTCGCGTGGTCAGTTTCCGGCCGGCGCGCACCGTTCGGGTGGTGGTTCTCCGGCAAGCACCGGCAACTTTCCGGCGCTTTTTCCGCCCGAGCTCCGAACGGCCGGGCGAGTGGGCGCCAGACTGTATCCGGTGTCGTCACTTCCGAAATGAGAGAGAAGGTCAGTGAGAAAAAAAATGAACGAAAGAACGAAACTGGTCTGAAGTAACTTTAGCAGCCGCTACGAAAGTTAATCCAAGTCGTTGGGACATGAGTGACGGCGGCGACAGGCTCTCGCTAGCGGTGTCGCGCGGGCAAGAGGCGAAGTAAACTGCCACCGTGTGGCGTTTCGTGTTCGGGTGGTGAGGGTCACGTGGTGTGCCGCCGGCGCGTTTCTGGTTGCCGGTTCCACCGGCTCGTTCTCGCCGGCAACTGACCACTCGAATTTGCCATTAGATGGGGCAAAATGCAAGTTAAGTAAAGGTGCCCATTCAGACACTTGCGCTTGACTCCGACCAACTGAGACAAGACTGGTTTTTAAGCCTTTTGCGACGGCTTGACCGGCTGCATTGCTGTGCATCCTGTCGTAAGCCATCCTAAGGGGCTTAAAAACCATTCTTGTCTCAGTCAATCTGAGTCAAGTGCAAATGTGTGAGCGGGCCTAAAGTGTCGCAGAAGCTCAGAAATGCAAGTTGAGTAAGTGTCGCTGAAGTTCGGCGTCTGTATGTGCTCTGTGATAAGACTCCAGGAAATAGTAACACCCATACACCTTTGGCAACGTTTACAAATTCACATCGCAGCGTGTCATACAAACAAACTCTGGAAGTTGTGCCTTCCAGGTACTATCGCAGACAATATGAGCTGAAACAGTGCTCCGGCCTGTGCATTGCACTACCTGCGCCGCCTGTCGCATTGCTCTGCAAACATGGTGCACCCTGAGGCCGAGATAAATTCTCACTTGCGCTCCCTGCGCCGCTGCGCCCTTCCGGCCGTCTGCTAGCGAAAATATTCGCCTACGGAACCATCATCACAATGCCTGTGCCGTGCAACCCAATGTTCACGTTTTCAGCTATCATGCATTTCAGTGCATTTAAAGAAAGCTTTGAAGTGGAAAATGCGCTTTCACGCTCGTATCTCCTCGAGGAGCGCTGCCTGATGGAGCTGCCTTGGCTAACCCAAAAGGAGCCGATCTGAATGTCATCGAACACATTTGGAGGCGCATCAAGGTAGCCATGTCACGACGTCCCGTCCACCGCGCCACTGCCGACGAATTGTGGGAAGCGGTGAGAGGTGAATGGGAGAGGCTGCAGGCCGATTCCTTATTAGAGAGAATGAAAGCCGTGGATGTGGTATTAACTTCTTTCATACATTTTACTGCATCTCGGGACCCCCTTAAAGGGGTACTCCACCGATTTTTTGAGCTACCTCAACTAACTATATTTTCTGACTCCCCGGCCTTTACTCTCTCCGGTATGCTATTTAGAATCGCGAAATTCGTAATAGTTATTGCAAAATGGGCAAATGAAAATGATGCAAAAACCAACATTCAAATATACGCGCGCTTTTCAGGGCCGTGACGTCAGTGGCAGGCAGGCTTGCCAGTCGAGCAAGCAGCCAAAAAATAGAATATGCCAATCATTTGTTCCGTGCTGGAGCACGGGTACTGCAGCGAGCTTCCCAAGCATTCATTTGACACCATGAAACTGCTTCGAATCAGTTTAAAACGAAATCTACAGCCCAAAGAGTGAACCCCTGCCTTCCACTGACGTCACTTTTTCATTGTTGCCAGTAGAGACTTCGAGCTTGAAAAACACGGTGAGGACCAAAACTGTAAATTCAATAACTTCGCGAAAAAACAATATTTTGACCTAATATTTGGGATACTATTTTTGCGATGTTTGTTGGTTAGTTTAGCAAAATTTCAAGCAAATCGGAGACAATGAAAAAATCGGTGGAGTAGCCCTTTAACTGGACCTCTGCCGATTGCAACAAAGCTTGCTGCTGCAATTGCGATACACTGTTTGACGACGGTAACCAGCGCATACTTTTGAGTGGTGCATCCTTGATCCTGATCTACTTGTATAGTGCAGTTGAACTTTCAAACCGACTATTAATTTTTTCTGTCTGACATTGTCGTCTGCGAGTGTTCTTTCGATGGACTTTTAAGCTCCTTCTCTTGGCAAATATATTGCTGTTTGTTGCATTGTTGCACTTTATTAAGACTAGGAATTTGTAAATAAAACGAAAATGTCTTGTCAGCATTTGTTTTGTTTGAAACAAACACGTGGGCCCAGTAACAAAGAAATAATTATAAGTCTTCATACCAATCAAGGTTACCAAACCTCTGCAGTAACATGTAGGGTTACCGTTGTTTCATTTTTACACAACTGTGCTCAATAAAAAGAAAAAAAAAGTAAATACTTTGAAGTTGGCCTAAGTCCCGTATAGAAATTTTGGCCCATATTTTACGATGTCCTACTTTGGGCATGCACTTCATAAAAAAAAAATTTAAAAAACTTTTGTCTTTTGATGTGACTTCCGAAAAACGATAATCGCAGCTGCAATTTAAGATACTTCAACATTTTTTCTTCACCAGTCAGAGTTTTTTTTACGTGATTCTACACAATGGAATGAAGTAAATCAATTTCAAAAAAGGAATGACAAGTATAATCTTCTGCCCCCCTCCCTTTCCCGTCTTGCTTTCAGACGGCCGCAAGAGTGCAGTGGAGCGGCGAGCGCTGTACTTTGTTTCAGCTTTGGTCCGAGCGCGGCCGATGTTACGAGCTGAAGGGCCAATCAACAGCGAAAGAGGCACAACGTCATGGCGTGCTTTCTGTAGTTGATAGGACCAGCCGGCATTCGCTGTCTCTCTGTGCACTGCTCCTCCACCAGCTAGTTAAGCGCAGAGAGCACGCCATGACGTTGCGCTTTTTACGCTGTTTGATTGACACTTCGGCTCATAACATTGGCCGCGCTGAGAACTAAGGTGAAACAAAGTATAGTGATAATTTATCTCGGCCTCAGGGTGCGCCGTGTGTGCGAAGCAAAGTGACAGGCGGCGCAGGTATTACCGTGCGCCGGCCGGAGCGCAGTTTTAGCTTGTATGGTCCGCGACAGTACTTGAGATGGGCTGCGTGGGTGTGATCACAGCAAAGTTACTGTGTATGCTGAGTGCCATGCTGCTTGTTAGTAAATGGTTTGTTTGTCTATACACCAACTCTTCTTTATTACGTCGCACTTGAGACACTACACGCTCACTTCTGGTCTCGTTTCTGAGCAAACACACACCAGTGAGCCAGGCATTGCTAAGCTGTTTTGGTAGAAACCAGTAAAAACCTGACTTGTCAGTAAAACATGGTAGACTTGTGAAAACGGGCTGCACCAAAAGACCCGGAAAGGGCGTCGAGGTCAATTTTTTTTTGCATTTTCTGCCTGTCTGATCTGGCCGGGAATGTGGATAAGTGCTGTGAAAAGGGAAAACTAGGTTTCATTGTGTAAGGATCACCTTTGTGGGAAGCACTTTGCTACCGGTGGTTTCACTGGGGCTTGTCGTAACATTTATTTCTATTGTTCTAACATGGACCTGTGAGCATCGTCAAGTGGATTGTATGATGTGCACACCACGTCGACGTGGTAACTGTGACGCAAAGTAACTATGCCTCCAGTGACTTGCACACATTAATGGTGTGTGCAGTAAATCAGCATAGTGTTAACAGTAGGTACAAGGCAATGTTGGCCATTGTGATTGGTGGCAATCACTGATTTGTTGTGCCTGATTCACGTGGTACGGTTCTGCGTGCATTTTTTGGCTGCGATTCCGAGCCCTGCATGTTTCACCCATGCTCCTTTTTTGCAGCATGAGCAACTTCGCAACTGAAGGTCATGAGCGGAATTACATCACGTGAATCAAGCTTTATGTTCATTCTGAGGCACCCAGGTTGTACTAATTGCTGTACGTCGGGTCATTTACACAAAGTTTTGCGGTGTAATGAGGTTTGTCCATTTTGCTGAGGCCACTTCAGTTGTTGGACATTGCTGTGCTTTGCTTCACTTCATATGCGAGCGAAGCTGAAGCTACAAGTACGAAGCATGTTGCATGGCACGGCTCTATGCAGAGCCCAAGTTCGTCTGCTTCTTGTACAGGGGTTGCAGTGCCATCAGAACGCCGAGCTCCGATTGGTTTTGTTGGAAGAATAGTTGGCAGACCTCAATGCTAGATGCCTTGAGATCTACCCACTATCTTTCCAATCGAAGCTCTACGTTCTGACGTCATTGCATCCCCTGTGCAAGATGCAGACAAACTTGCACCCCTTATAGTCGGTGACGAGTTAAAGAAGCGGTGCAGCGATTTTCAGATTTCAGTCAAATAACTGCGGGAATTAATCTGTGCAACCTCTAAGAAACAGAAAACCATTTGTTTTTGCGCACGCTAGGTAAAGTGAGTAAAGGGTTCTTCAACTCTTGCGCCATCTTTCGAGTGACGTCTCTGGTGGACCACCTGGTTTCCCTTTGGGCTACGTCTTCAGAGCCCCCAGCCGCTTCCTCCGCGATTGTCAACTTCTCAAGGATTAGCATCGGCGGAGGTCATAGCGAGCGATTGACATAAATGCCTGTTTGCCACGGAGCTGACGGCGAGCGTCGCAGTGGATTTGTTCACTTACACGTGTCTTCCTGCGATGCGCCACAGTAGTTCCCGTAACCGCCAAACGTGGCTGCAGGTTGGCAAATAACATGCCATTTGAAATTACGCAGTAGAATATAAATTTCTGGGGAAGGTCACACATTTTTTTTCTCTCTTGTTCCTCTGTAAGCTATATAAAAAAATACAAGCTGCAAATTCTTTCAATGTTAAAATCGTTGCTCTGCCCCTTTAGGAATTTCCAAAGGAACTCCACTTTCCATTCTAGCAGAGAGAATGCCAGAGAGGCGGTGACCTCCTCTCCTGCATTTGCTCTGCTAAAGTGGAAAGGGGTGGGGGAGCTTCCCCTTATCTCCTGACTTGTAACCGACTACAGTGCTGCGCAAGCGTTCATGCTTGGCAGGGATGCTGAAAGCCCGGCCCTCACTTGTGTAGCTTTTTCTATGCTCAAGCTTAAAGTGAAGTAAAATATAGAAACTGGTAGGATCAACAATTTGAACACAAAAAAGAGCACGGGAACTCGCCCCGATCCTGACATTGTGTTACAATAGTTTATTACTGGGGGACGGCACACCTTTTGCCAACACCCCCAACGCGCTCACGTTGCGTCACTGGCGTCGCAGGGGCACTCCAGTTTTTGTTTTGGAGCACGAATATGTGTGCTCGGGGCATTTCACTGAACACCAATCAAAATTTAATGTTTAAATCGGCGTGTCCTTGGAGGTATGTTCCTCAGGCTGTGGCCGCCTTGCTGGGATTTCATTTGACCAGCTGGGGCCCACGAGGTCAGCATCTTTTCTCTTCCTGAAACAATGGGCTTGAAATGCTGACTAACAACAACGCATACCAACTGATCCAGTTATTCATTCTGTTAATCTCTTCTCCGAATAAATTGAGGCAGTGTACCAAGATGTTTCGGAGCTTACCAGCCGTATAGAATTGTACATGTGTCTAAAATTGATCTTTGGTTGTAATTGCTGTAGATACCTGGAACATGGGGTGCTATTGCACTTGTTGAGGGCAGGATAACTTTGGAGTATTTTTGAGGCACCAACATATCTGTGGCATTTTTGTTTGAAGCCTTAAGCTGTAAGTAGACATAATATTCTATCTATTTTATTTACAAAATTGAAACATGCCCTTTGCATTTGGAATGCGACTTGCATTGCTGACCCAAACCGGTACATGCAGGTGACCGAAGAAGACGACCAAGCCCTAAAGCTGAAGAGAGGCCAGTCCAGGTATTCCCCTTCTGCAGACGGAAGCGATGGCCCTTCAGGCAGCAAAAGGGTCAAGTCGAAAACCAAAGTAAGTCGGATTCAAATGTGGGCACGCCAGTCAGCTGCTGTTTGCGCAATGTAAACATCGTGGGGGTTCGAGAGTGTGACGAGTACCATATTTTCCGGACTATAAGTTGCACTTCCGTATATTGAGCCGTTTTCGCGGAAATGTTGGTGTTTAAAGGGACAATGAAGGCAATTTCGGAGATCTTTTTGGCGATTGAACTGGGTTCCAGGCTCGTCTCGGGCCACGTTGCCCAAATTTCAGCCGAAACCGGCGCTTGTGTGCCGCGCAAATCAATTAAACAGTCGCGGTAACAATCGTACCGGGATCGACTGGGGCGACGTCCCAAGAGTTGCGGGAGAAGCCAGGAGAAGCGGAGCTCACGTGACCGATGCGGGGCCAAGGAGCGCGACGTCACAAGAGACGCGTCAGCGATTGGTCGAAACGGGAAACATGCCCTTGGTCACGTTTTGGTTCGCGATTTTTAGAAATACTGTTCTACTTTCCGCTTGAATAACCATCAAAAGTATAAATGGGATCGGAAATGATTACTAACCCGTAAATAAAGCAGCATCATTGTTTTTTTTCTTTGCTACGCTGGACACGAAACCGGCAACAAGCAACTATGGACCAACAAATAAAATTAAAAAAGAACACTGTACTCGAAAGATTTTGCAAAATGGTAGCGGTAGATGGCTGTTCTAACGGTCGACTGAAGACCAGTATTCGTTTGGGCGACGCTAGTTTTCACGTGTGGGTTGCTGTTCGTGTTCTTTGACGACGAAAAGAGGAAGTCCGCGGAGGAACCGGATCCCGGAACGGCGGGATCGCTGCCACTTTCCCCTCGGCATCTCCCCCGCGTCCGTCCTTCGGCATGCGGGCCGCTCGTTGCCGGCTGGGCGGTCTCCGTCGGTTGATGGCAGAGGCCGCCGCACACATACTCCCATTCCGTTGGTGTTCAATCACTGAACGGAAGCTCGAACTCGCTCGCGAGAGCGGCATTCGTCCATGCTGACAGAGTCGGCGCAACGACCGCGCCACCGCGCTGCTATAACCCACCGCAGTAACCAGAGTCTTGATCGCCTAAATACTGCCGATACCGACTATTCACACTTGACGTCACTCCTTACGTCACCTCCGTTTTCGGAGGCCCAGAAACAAGACTGGAGATGGTTCAGTTTCGGTTTCTTTACTTCTTCCGTAGGCACATAAATACGCGTCATAAATGTCTACAAAAAATTGGGCGGCAGGCTATGTTCCCAAGAAGCATTAAAACACCATTTAAAAAAATTAAATAAAATCGTCTTCATTGTCCCTTTAAGTCGCACCCCTCTGCACAGTTCATGTGATAAGTTTTTTTTGTTTTTTTTTGTTTTATGCGCATTGGTATTGTGAAATTGGAATTTCGCACAATTGGCTAGATCACACAACCTTTTGATGCGCAACAGCTTTGCCACCGCAACACCTTTGCCCACCGCAACAGCTTTGCCTATCGCAGAAATATTGAAAAAAAGCTATTTGAAAATATTGACTTTTTAATGTGCCCTATAAATTTAATAGGCAATACAAAGGCCAAAAACAAATGCCAAAAAATTTATTATATGAGCAATCTTTGAACACACTGTAAAAAAAAAGGGGGACTAAAGTCCGGCTTCACTGCATTACCGCAGAGCAGTACTTCAGACGCTGCATTACCGGGCATAGCAGTACTGCAGACAGTTCACATCATTTTGCATGCAAAGTGGTAGAAAAATGTGAAGGGGCTGGAGAAGGATTTCTTTTGTTGATTCTAGTCCAATGCCGACACGATGTCCTCATCGCAATCGGAGTCATCTGAACTAATATCCAATAACTCGGTTGCATCGCTCTCGCTGTCTGATGAAAGATTCGTCTCCTCATCTTCCGAATCTGAAAAAACGTCGCAATATCTTCGTTTTTGCCCCAATTTTGATGCAGGATCGTCACTACGAACGCAGCGACCAGAAGTTGCCTCTTCCATTTTTAAATCCCCTGTTGTCTGTGTTGAAACAATTTTCTGCCAAATTCAGAGATTTACCACATTTTTATTTTCCATGAAGTGCCATCTACCCACGGCAAAGGTAACTAGAAATACGTGGACTAGCCCAGTTCGTCCATGGTAGCGTATTGGAGCCCAAATCAACGTGGACAAGGCCAGCTCGTCTTTGGGGGGAGTGGTACAAACAGTGTGGACAAACTTAGGTCGTCCATGGCAGGGAAAGGGTTAACGTTTCGACTCGCAAGTAATGCCCATAGCACAATGCTGTTTGGCTGGGGCAGTCGAGCGTTTCGCACCAAAAGGACGTAAAACGTGCAAAATGAGAAGGTAGGGCTTTGTTTAAGCATACACGTAACGAGCAAACGAAGTTTGACGTGTTATAGACACCCGTGAATTAATCTTTGAACCACTAGGCCTAGCCTAGGCCAAGTCATGGAGATGACGCAAGCATGGATGCACTGGTGGATGGATAAATCGTGACACACTTTTTTCGGTGCCGCTAGCAGATTGGCTAGCCACAATCCTTCCTTTTACATGTAGCAACATGGCTGGAGCGGGTGTAGCCCGAAACAACCCATTCCCATTTGAACCCGTCCCATTTCGACCCATGCCGAATCGACCTTCCCGTTTGAACCCGATCTGTTTCGACCCATTCTCAAAACGACCTTCCCGTTTGAGCCCGTCTCGTTTCGTCCCATTCCCGAAACGCCCTTCTCACTTGAAGACGTCCACTTTCAACCCATTTGTATAAGGCCCTGCGCATCACAACCTCTTCGCAAAAGGTCTAATCGTTCTAGCCCTGGTCGGCGCGCCTTTTCTCCTAAACAATTCATGTTCTGAAATATTTTTGCATGCCAATGTATTATAAAATTATGCACCTCTTTCAAGTAAGCTTCGAAGTAATATAGTATTCTTCCTTCAACCACTTAACGTGTTTTTGCTTCTTTTTTTTTTATTTCAAGGTGATTCTTACAACGCGCAACTTCGAAACAGTCAATCTACACTCTGCGACACTGTTACTGGAAAGACGACCTTGTCGCTTTTTAACTATTTTACTTCGAAATGGTATTACCAGGCACCAAATGTTAGGGCTTAAGGTACTGGCTCAGATGAAAACTTCCAAAGACAATGATACTTTTTATGGCAGCCTTTTAACTCTATGACAGAAACAGCAACATTGCCGCGTTACATACCATAATGTAGTCTTGCGTACACAAGCACATTGGAAAAGCTAAACATAGCGTCGTCATCGTGACACTATTTTTAGGGTACCCAAAGTGCTTGCATACGTTTTTATAAAGCTCATATTAGTGATCTTGATATTTTAGAGACGGATAAATCAAACAGGGTGACAGGCATATGAATGCGACTCTATTTTCTTTTACAATTTCAAACACTGAACACTCGCGCACACAGGAAAACATGCATCATAGTCGAGAAAATGCCTTCGCCTTGTTGAGAAAGTCGAACAGGGAAATCGTGCCATCAGAAAGGCGACACTCCAGTTCTGATTGTTCGCGGTCCCTGCCGACCCACTTGAGCCCCCTCGCCCGTAAGGCACCACTCTTGCAAGCTGCTGCAAAGATACTCTTGCCAAAGCCTCATCCTGTTTGATCAAATCGATGAAGCTGTGAATGTTCAGGTGAGCCCTCCCTGACACCGTGTTTATCTTACGGTGCCATTTCTCCAGGCTTGTTTCGGGAGTGGGAGAAGTGAGGTCAGCAAGGAGGACTGACTTTGGAGACCTGAACTAAATAAACTGTTAACGAACAATACAAACGAACCAACCTAACTGATAACGGACGATGGCTGAAGCGGGAAGGCTGTTTCGGGATAGGGCGAAATGGGAAAGGATGAAACGAGAAGGTCGCTTTGAGCCGGGTCGAAACGGGAAGGTTGAAATGGGAATGGGTCGAAACGGGAACCACCCACTGGAGCATGGCAGATAAAAACTGCTCATTAAACAGAAACTCTGAAAGACGCGAGAAAAGTTTCTGCAATGCGTGTATACCAGCCCACTTACCTTTCAGTGTTACTGGACTGAAGCAAAAGAATATAGAACCATGGCTGAATTAGGCTACATCAATCACAGGCTGTAAAAGCTTTACCCTCACTGTCTTGCCTATCCACATTGAGCCTCTTCGGGGAAACCGTAAAATTTTATGAAAGGTGTAGAAGAGTGTGGTGGCAGGAGTGCCTCCTGGAAGGGGCAACACCACCTATGGCTACGTAGTTATGATGCTCTACGAAAGATGGCACGTGGTGCATAAAAAATGGTGTCGCACCATAAATTAAAGAATAAAAACCCGTCTAAATTGCATCGGTGAATAAGACGCACCAAGAAAAACTTAAAAAAAAAACAAAACGCGACTTTTACACCAGAAAATATGGTACATAGGCGTTTAACTTTGCGAAATCAAGGTGCGGAACACAAATCATTTTATGTTGTTTCGACCTGAAAAGTGCTCGAGCTAAGACCTGGGGGACTGTAGCCATGATATTGCATTTATCCTTAACAGCATACTTGCAAATTAAAGAGGGTTTGAAGTCTACCGTTTGGCTGGCAGTTCCACCCTACTCTGCTTTCCTGCAGCGCGTTCTGCGGCAGCGGCTTTACTGGGATATTCTTTGCGTTCCTTCATTCCTCTATGGTCGTTGATTTTTCATACCAGATACAAACGGAAAGAGAAGCGTTTGGGCACATACTCTTCCGGTCCTAAAACCTCAGTGTCTCCATTTGAGTTTTGCAAACTTAAAGGGGCGGTGCAACAATTTGCGGACTTTGGCTAATTAATTGCGGGAATTGATCCCGGCCACATATAAAACGAAGGGCCGAAAACTATTCTTTCCTGCTTGCCCTAGTTTTCATTAAAAAAAATGAAAGAAATTGATATCTCTGGCACCCCTCAACTCAACATTGAAGCGGCACCAGCTTCGCCTGTGACGTCATTCGGAGTGGCGTTGGTTTCCGGTTGGGTTCTTCTGGCTTCCGTTTCCCCAGCGCTCG